AAAGTTGTAATAATATAAGTAGCATATAATAATATAATAATATAATAATATAATAATATAATAATATAAGATACAAGTAATATAATAAATAATATAAAATATAGAATATAAGTACCTTTTTAAAATATAGAATATATATATTATTATATTATTATATTATTAATAATATAATGTATTATTTTTTATTAATACTTTGTTTTATATTAAAGAATAAAAATAAGGTTTATTATTTTATTATTTTTTATTAAAGAATAAAAATAAAGTTTATAACTTTTTTATTAAAGAATAAAAATAGGGTTTATTATTTTATTATTTCTTATTAAAGAATAGAAAGAAGGTTTATTATTTTATTATTTCTTATTAAAGAATAGAAATAATGTTTACTATTGTATTATTTTTATTAAAGAATAAAAATAAGGTTTATTATTTTATTATTTGTTATTAAATAATAATTATAAAGTTTATTATTTTATTATTAAAGAATAGAAATAAGGTTGATAATTATTATAACTTTTATTTTAAATACTTTTAAATATAGTTTTTAATCTTTTTTATTATTTATTTAATATTTATATAGTTTATTAATTTATTAGTTTATTAATTTATATTTATAACTTTATATATTAATATTTAAATATTATTAAATTTATAAGATTTATTATTATAAAATTATATTAAATATATTATTTAATATTATTTTTAATATATTTAATATAAGTTTTATATTTATATTTTATATTTTGTATTGTTTTTATATTATAATATAAAAATAATATAAAATATAAAATATAAATAATATAAAATATAAAATATAAGTATTCTTTTAAAATATATATATTTATTATATTATTATATTATTAATAATATAATATATTATTTTTTATTAATACTCTAAGTATATATACCCCTTAAAATTAATGAGTTTTAAGCAGTATTACCCTAGTACCTTAAGGTTTTATAGTTTAATGATTAAAACGTTAGCTATTTAATATTAAAGGCCTAGGTTTAATTCCTGGTGGGATTTTGATAAGCTAGGGTGTTAGTGCTTTTTTATTTTTTTTAAAATTTAAATTAATAATTAAATATATATATATATATTATTATTATATAACTTTAAATATAATTATTTTTAATTTTTAATAATAAAATATATATTATAATATATATATATATATATTTAATGATAATAAATATATATATATCTTTAATAATAATAAATATATATATATCTTTAATAATAAATAAATATATATATATATATACTTCTTATTATTTAATATATATACTTTTTATTATTAATTAAAAGTATATATATTTAATAATAAGAAGTATATATATATAATTAATTTTATTAATAAGAAACTCTTATTATTAAAAAAGCTTAAATATCTATTTTAAAGCTATAAATTAAATAATACTTAACCCTTAGCCTTAATATCCATTTTAAAGCTAAATAATAAGGAAACCCTAACCTTAAAATACCTTATAAATCCCTGCAAACCCTGCACCATCTCTTTTCATAAATAACTTTCCCATGCTTTAAATTAAACACTTTCCCATATTTAGTAACAAAAAGACCACCTTTCTTAAATTTTTTTCCCACTTTATTTATCTTTACCTTTTTCTTTTCATGCTAAAACTTAATTTAGAAATTTTAAAAAATAGGAAAAAATAAAAAGAAATACTTATAAGTAATAAAGGTAAAGGAGAATAACTATTATTACTTTTTTCCTTTAAAAATAATTTAAGTAGGTTAATAATGCTTTAAGTTAAGAATTTATTAGTAAAATTTATAAAGAAGTCTTAAAGCAATTAAAAATTATTTTAAAAAGAAAAAAAAGAAAAAAAGAAAAAGAATAATTTACTTACTTTAAATATTAATACTAAACCCCCTAGGTATTTATTTTAAAAAAATATATCATTAAATAAAGAAAAAAAGGCTTTATTAAGTAAGTATACCTCTTAGCTAATAGCGATAGCAAAGCATTAATAAGCTTTAATAATAGGGATAATTGCTTAATTAAGGGTAAATAATGCCTTAAATAAGGCATTAAAGGCCTTATTTATAAGGTTTAATATTTTAAAGTGCTAAGTATAAAAGTTTATAATAAGGGAAAAATATTTCTTAAAATATAGGAAGGAAGAGTAGCTAAAGAGAAATTAAATTCCATTAAAAAGAAAGGAAAGAAGCTATATATTTATCTTTTTATTTTCCTCCACTATATATTAATAATCCAACGTTAAAAAATTAAATAATAAAATCACTATTAAATTAATTTCTAAGCTGAATTATTAATGAGTGGTATTAAAGAAAAGGAAGGAAGAGAAAAAAGTAACGGTAAGAATATATTAGTTATTTTTATATATAAAGAGATTTAAAAAGATAATAATTTTTAATATTATAAAATAAAGCATAAAATAAGCATTATAATAATATATATATTATATATTAAAATTTATATATAAATAAGTTATAATAAAATATAATATTAAACCTTATTTTTAAAAAGCCTAGCAAATAAATATAATTATATTAAAAATTTATTCTTATTAATTGCTTATAATAAAATTTTATTTAATTTATTTTTTATATATTTTTAAAATAAAAAGTTAATATTAACTTTAAATATAAGTATATAAAAATATAATTCTTAATAATATATTTAATACATAATAAATTTAAGTTTATTTATATAATACTTAATATTTAATTTTTTAAAATTTAAGTTAATAATTAATTTTAACTTAAATTTTAAATTAAAATAATAAATATACTTTTAATATAATAAATATATATCTTATAATATAATAAAATAAAGTTTTAAACTTTATTTTAAAAAATCTCGGTAGATAAATATATCTTTATTTAATAAATATTATTATTAATTAATTATATTAAAACTTTATTAGATTTTTACTTTATATAATATTTTAAAATATAATATAATAATTATTTATTTTATAATTATATTATTTAATAAATATAAATAATTATATATATATATATATAAAGTATATTTTAAGTATTAAAAATAAATATATATATATATATATATACTTTTTAAATATACTTTTTTATAATTAAAAGTAATTATATTTATATATTTTTTATTATTAAATATATATATATATATTATTATTAAATATATATATATATATATATATATATATATACCTCTTATTATTAAATATATATACTTTTAATTAATGATAAAAAGTATTACTTTTTATTATTTTATATATATACCTCTTATTATTAAATATATATACTTTTAATTAATAATAAAAAGTATTACTTTTTATTATTTTATATATATACCTCTTATTATTAAATATATATATATACTTCTTATTATACTTTTAATTATTAATAAAAAGTATTATATTTTATTATTAAATATAATATATATATATATATATATAATAAAAGTTTATTTTATAATTTTAAACTTTAATAATATTTTTTAATATATAAAAGCTATAAGTTATAGCTTATAACTTATAAAAGTTCTTTTTAAATTTTCTTTTATTTCTTTATTCTTTTATTATATTATAATTATTATTAATATCTTTATTTAACTTTATATAATATTAAACTCCTTATATTATATATTTATTATCTTATTTAATTATGGATTTAACTATTATTATTACAATATTATTAAATAAAATCACCCTTGTAAATACTATATTAGATGGTTGATTTTGGGTTATTATATTAAATAATAATAATAGTTATATTATTATTTCTAAGGAAGAAATATATATACCTTATTATGAAATTTTATATATATATAAAAGTATAAAAGAAAGGAATGAAGTATTAAGTCTTTTATTAATTAAGAAGGATTTTTAAAACCTATTTATTATTAAAGAAAATGATAATTATTATTTATATATACCTTGAGATTAGCTATTTAGTTATTTAGTTATTTAGTTATTTAGTTATTTAGTTATTTAGTTATTTAGTTATTTAGTTATTTAGTTATTTAGTTATTTAGTTATTTAGTTATTTAGTTATTTAATTATTTAATTATTTAATTATTTAATTATTTAATTATTTAATTATTTAATTATTTAATTATTTTAAATATATAAAAAAGTTAACTTAATTAAGGATTAAGTTATTAACCTTATAATAATTCTTATTATTTATTTAAATTTAATAAAACTTAAATATATAAATAAAAAGTATATTATTATAATATTTCTTTTTACTTTATATATAAATATAATTATAATTTATAATTATATATATATATATAAAATAAAAATATAAACTTTTTTAAAAGAATTAAAATAAGTATATATATTATATATATTATTTAATATATATACCTTCCTTAGCAAGAAATTTTTGAAAGGCAAGGCTAGGATAAGCATTAAGGTGCTGTAGTTTAGTGGTTAGAATTCTTTATTAAATAAGAGGACCTGGGTTTGATTCCTAATAGTATCGTTGCTTTATGCCTTTTTTGTCTTTTTTTATTTTTTTAATTAAGTTATTAAGCTATTAAGTTATTAAGCTATTAAGTTATTATATATTAAGTTATTAAGTTATTTAGTTTTTAAGTTATTAAAAATATTAAAAGAATTAAAATAATAAAAAATAATTAATATAAAATTTAAAAGAATTATTATTATTTATTAACTTTTATCTTTTTAATAAAATTATATATATTAAAGATATATATATTTTTAAAAAGCTAAAATTCTACTTAATAAAATTATTATAATTAGCTCTTTATATATAATTTATATATTTAAACTTTATATAAATTATAATAATATATTAATATTATATATATTTAAGTTTAAATTATATAAAGTTTAATAATATAAAAGATATATATATTTTTATAATTCTTAAAGTTTATATATTCCTATAATATTTAATATATACTTTAAATATAAATATTAAGAAAAAAATATTATTATATTCTTTTCTTTATATACCTTTTTTAAAAAAAGATTTTTAGAGTATAAGATGATAGATACATAAAGGTTTTATAGTTTAGTGGTTAGAATACTTTAAAAAAGGGAGACCTAGGTTTAATTCCTAGTAGGAGCGTTGTTATAAATCATCTTATACTCTTTTATTATTTTTATTTATTTATTTATTTATTAAGTTATTTATTAAATTATTTATTAAGTTATTTATTAAATTATTTATTAAGTTATTTATTAAAATATTAAGGTTATTAATTATATTATTAAGTTTTTAAATTATTAAGTTATTAAGTTATTTTTTTATTTTTATATTTTTTTATTCTTTTATTCTTTTATTCTTTTATTCTTTTATTCTTTTATTCTTTTATTCTTTTATTCTTTTATTCTTTTATTCTTTTCTTTTTTTATTCTTTTATTCTTTTATTCTTTTATTCTTTTATTCTTTTATTCTTTTATTCTTTTATTCTTTTATTCTTTTATTCTTTTATTCTTCTATTCTTTTATTCTTTTATTTTTTTATTCTTTTATTTTTTTATTCCTTTAAGTATTATATTAAAAAGTTTATTTAAGTTTATATAATTATATTATTAATTTTATTATAAGTTTATATTTATTTATATAATTATATAATTATAAATTAACTTTTATATTAAAATATTATTTTTAAGTGTATTATGTATTATGTATTTATATTATTTATATTATAATATATGTATTTGTATTTGTATTTGTATTAGTGTATTTGTATTTGTATTTATATTATTAAAAATCTATGTATTTATATTTATATTTATATTATTAAAAATCTGTGTATTTGTATTTGTATTTGTATTATGTATTATGTATTATTTGTATTTTCACAACTCTGATAAAGGCTATTAATTAATTAACGAAAGGTATATAAGTAATGGCATACTTACTTATTATAATAGGTAAGCAAATTTATATACTTTAAAATGTTAATATAGCACTTATTAAATGTTAAAGAGCTAAAAGAACTTAAGTATAGCTTAAAGGAATACTTATAATTAAGGAATTTTAAGCTTTTATTTAAAAGAAATAAAAGGTAAAGCGGCTAGCTAGTAAAATAAGTAGTGGGATAAAAGAGTTGGTTCGCGGCAAATTAATTAAAAGATGCTATGGCAATTATAGCGAAACTAAGCATAATGCAAGAACTTATAAGAAAGATAAAGAAAGGTTTAATTAATTAAATTTTAATTATATTATAGCAAATCCAGCTTAGTTAGCATTAATTAATGCAAATATAGCTATTTTATTAATTTGCAGCAAACTATATTTTTAATAATATAATTAGCATTAATTAATGCTAAATATATATTTCTTATTAAAAATTAATTAATTTAAACCAGCATTGCAACCATATTAATACTTTTAAATTAATGAAATTAATTAAAAATAAGGATTTAATTGCATTTGGTATTAATTAATGCTAAATTTAATTAAATTATTTGCATTAAGTAGGTGTTGGGGTTAATTAAAGTTAGCGAAAGTTGCAAAAGTACGCTATTTATTAATATGCGCTACTTACTGGTAAACCACGTTATTAAAAAATTATTAATATAAAAAAATATAATTTTTAATAAATATAAAGTATTTAATAATAAATAAAGAAGTTTTAAAAATAAACTTTTTATTATAAATATTAAATATTTTATACAATAAATAAAAGAATATAATATAGTTTATTAATAAATAATAAATATTAAATAGCTATATTATTAAGTATTTTTATATAAGAAATATAAGGAAAAACTATTTTACGTTATAATTAAAGAACATTAAGGAATTTTATATTATTCTTTAATACTTTTTTTAAAAATTAATATCTTTATAAAAGATTTAAATAATAACTTAAGCTTTTAAATTTAATTAAATTATATAATAAGAAATATATATATAAGGTTATATTTATTTTATAATTAAGCTTAAAGAGTTATAAAGCTATATATAAACGTTTTTATATATAAAATAAGGTGTATAGCTAAGTAATATCCGCTATTTATTAATAAACTACGTTATATTTTTTAAAAATAATAAAATATTAAATTTAAAAGAAAAGGCTTTATTTAAAGATAATTTCTTAAAAAAAAAGTTTAAAAAAGGTTAATTTATAATAAATTAAGAAAGTAATATTAATAAAGAAATAAAGATTTTAAAAAAATATATAAAAAATGCTTTAAAAAAGTATTTTAACGTAAATTAATAAAATAATGCTTATATAAATATAAAATTTAAATTATTCCTTATATTTTTATAATTTCCTTTATTAATACTTTTAACTTATATTATTTAAATTTAATTAAATAAAAGAATCTTATTAAATAATAAATATATTATAAATATATTATAATAATTTATATTTATAATTAATATTAAAATTATTTTAATAATTAAATTAAATAAAAGAATTAAATAAAATATAAATTAAGAAATATTTATATAAAATAATAAAAGTATAAAGAAATAATTTTTTAAAGCCATTAAAATAATATAAAGATTTTAAAAATTATTTATTTAAATATTTATTTATATAAATAAAAGCTAATTATTTATAAAATTATATTAAAATAGAATTACAAGTTAAAATTTAAAATAAATCTTTATATAATAAGAAAATAAATCTTAAAGTATATATAAATATATATATATAAGTTTAATAAATATAAAGGTTTTTAAAAATATTAAATTTATTTTATAATTTAAGGAAATTAATAAATAAAAAAAATAAATATAAAAAAATTTATATTATTATCTTAATAAGCTAATTCTTTTATATAATAATAATAATAATAATAATAATAAATTTAACTTTAAATTTATATAATATAATATTATATATATATATATATATTATAATTAATTAAAATATTTTTATATAAATATTATATAAATATTAATAAAAAAGAATTATCTTTTTATTATATAAAGTATTATATAACTTTTAAACTTTATTATTATTATAATAAAAAAGAATTTAAAAAAATATTATCTTAATATAATTATTAATAAATATTATATAAATTATATTATTATATTAAAAATAATATTATAATTTAAATTATATAAATAATATTATTATTATATATTAAAAGAATTATAAAAAATAAGTAAATAAACTTACATAATAATTTTAAAAAAAATATAAAATTATTAAAGGGAATTTTATTTAATAATTTCTTAATATAAAAATTATTTAGATTTATAAAAGTTATTAAATTTAATTAACTTAAATTATATATATTAAAAAGATTATTAAAGTAATTAATAAAATAAAGATTTCTTATAAGGTTTTTATAACTTTTAAAGAATTATTATTATATATTATTATTACCTTAAAAGTTAAGGTTTATTTTTATTAAAAGAAAATTAAATTACTTTTATTTATTATATTAAAGCTTATTTAATGCTTAATTAATTTAAATTAAAAATATTATAATATAATTAATAAATTATTATTATATTTATTTATATTAAGTATTTTTTTACCTTATATTTTTAAAATTTAAATATATTTATTATTATAAGTAATGCTTTATTTATTAATAATTCCTTAAATAAAAAGAATTTATAAATATTTATTATAAAGTTATTTAATAAAGTTATTAAATAAAAAGCTAATATATAAAATATAATTATAATTTTTATTATAAAAGCTAAGCTTTTAACTTTAATATAAATAATAAAAGAAATATTATTTATTAATTAACTTTTTATTAAGTTATTTATTAAATTAAATAATAATATTATTAAAATTAAATATAATAATATTTAAATTATTAAGCTTATAAATTTTAAATTTATTATATTTAAAATAAAAATATAATATATAAATATTTATAATTATTAATTATAATAAAATATATGTTATTAATATAAATAATTATAAATTAATTAATTAAAATATTATTAATTGAAAATAAAATAATTTCCTTTATTAATTTAATAATAATTTATAATAAAAAAAGTAAAAATATTATTAAAATAATACTTTATTAAACTATATATTATCCCTTTAATAAAACAAGCTTAATTATTTTATTTAATTAATATAATAACCTTATTTAATTACCTTATAAAAGCTATTATTTTAATAATTAATTAAAGAAAACAATAAATATAAACGTAATTATATAATTATATATATATATATATTAATTATATAGTTATTAGCTAGGTTATATATTGCAATATAACGTTTAATTAATATAGTGGTTAATTATTGTTAATTATAAAAGGAAGGAAGGTAAAAGGCTTAATTATGCTAACTATTTTATATATAGCGCTAAGGCTGCTGCTTGCTAAGCATTTTAATAAGCCAAAGCTGCTTAATTTTAAATAATCCTTTATATAAATAATACTTATTATTTCTATATTAATAGTTTTTATTTTATAAATGTATATTACTTTTAAAAAGTATAAAAAAAAGAAAGATATTAAGTTAAATTAAACTTAAGGTTAAGAAGTAATTAATTAATTATATATATAAGTTAAATTATAAATATATTATTATTTTATTACATTATATTATTATAAAAAGCAAATATATAAAAAAGCTTAAGTTATTATTAAGAGGTTAAAGATTAATTAATTTATTAAAATATATAATTAATAAATAAAGGTTAATTAAATATATATATATATTAAAATATTTTAATTATATAAAGTTAAAAAGCTTAAAAAATTATAATTATTATATAAATATTTTATTTATAATGCATTTTATAAATTTATATTTTTATTATTTATAACGCTTAAGTTAAATAAGGATTAAATTAAACCCTTAAATTATTAACGTAATTATTTAATTTTTAAATAATTAAAATTTCTTAATTTAACTTAGCTTAAGCTTTGCCATGTTTAATGCTATATATTAAATAAAGAAATTAAGAAATATAATTAAAAAATAAGTTATTAAAATAAAGATTAAGTAAATAAGGTTAATAAATTATAAGAATTAATAAATAAAGTATTTAAATAAAAGAAAAAGTAAAATATAAGATAAAAATTATTAATTAAGTTAATAAATAATAATACTTTTAATTTTAATATATAAATATTAAATTATAAAATTTAATTAAGAATATTTATTAAATATAAGCT